GTGAGGAGCAGGACAGTGGGTAGAGAAGGTAATTTGGAACCAGACGTCAGAAGTCTGGGTTCCAGTCTTAGTACTATAATCTTGTGCAAACCACTTCACCCCTCTGGGGCAGATTTTTTTTTCCCCTGTAGCATGAAGGAACTGATTAAAGTGATCATTACTTTCTTATTTAAAGCTTGGTGATTCTGTGGTTTTTATACCGTGTTACTGTTCTCTGGGTGATATTAAAGCCATCTATGCTGATGCAACTGAAAATTTTTCTTAGGTAAAACTTTAATTCTTTAAATAGTAGCCAATAATCCTGATTGTGGTTCGTTGCACCCTTCTCGAAATAAAGTTCAGAAATCCACTAGAAAAGTATGCCCTTCTCTACTCTTCCATCGTGTGCCCCGTGTGCCCAGCACGTAAACCTAATGCAGACACCCCTTTTAATTAGAAGGTCACATGGCCATTTAAATGTGAGTGGAAATGGACCACAGGAGAGCCGCAGGTGTTTTGTTTTTTCTTAATCTTCACGCGGTCACGGAGGGTAGGGTGCATGTGGAGTTCTCACAGTCTTCCCGAGGGTGCCCTCCCCACACGGAACATTTCTGTCATCTGCTCCCTGCCTGAGTTGCCTGGTCAGGGCTCTCCTGTTACACCTGCGGGTCTGTCTGGTGCGAGTGCCTGGGACGAGGTGCGGGAGGTGGACACGAGCAGCGAGGCACTGTGTTCTGGGCTGTTCCAAGAGGTTCAGGCCTTTACAAGTGAGGCTTTGATTCTATTTTTGCTGAACTAGCTCAGCCACTTCCTGTGTTTGGCTGCGCATAGTGCCTCGCTTCACTGTCGGCTCCTTGAGCCAGCCAGCGCGCGCGGCGGCCAGTTGAGACTATTTTGGGTCCCCTCACAATGGCCTTCTCATTTCCTCGGCGAAAATGAGCAAGTTGGCCTGGCGTTGGCCACTTTTCAGCCGATGACAACTTTGACTTTGACTTGGGCTCCCCTCCCCCTCCCGAAATCCCTAGCTCAGCAAATATTTGAACCTGCCCGAGTTAATCATGAAGCTGCGATCTTTATCTGAGGGAGACGTGCGAGCGCGCGGGCTCGCCGCCTCCCCGGTACAGTAGCGAAATCCAGTTGGCGAGGGCGGGGAGCCGGCGGTGCGCGGCGGCCGCGACACTCTGCCGAGCCGGCCAGGCGGGCGGGCGCGGGGACCGGCGGTGCGGACGGAGCCCGGAGGGAGAGCCGGCGGGTCGGGTCGGGGTGCCCTGCAGCGCCCCCACCCCTGCGCGCGCACTCGCGGCTGCCGGGCACGCGCGCTGCCACCGGAGCAGGCGGGGGGTGGGTGGGGGGGACGCGGGGACTTGGCCCACTTGATGGAAGAACAGCTTTTTGGATTTTTTTTTCATTGCCGGAGACAGGCATTTCAAAGGGAAACCGTTGAAATGCATAACCTGCAAAGTAAGTTGCCTCGAATTTGTGCACTTCTCTGCCCCTTGCCTGTGGGTTTATCTGAACGGCTGCTTTCTGTAGTTTGTCTCGGGGCGTGCGTGCTGGGGTGTGTGTGTGTGTGTGTGTGTGTGTCTGTGTGTGCGCGCGCACGCCCCTGTAAGCGCTGCCTGGGGAAGGCAGATGGGAGATTACGGGAGGCACTCCCCCATGTCCTCGAGGGGGACAGTGCGAGGGAAAGGTGGGGTTGATGTTGGAAGTTCGGGAAGGAGGTACTCATTACAAAGTGCTTGCTTGGCTGGAAGTTGGTGCCAGGCCAGGGCTTGGAGAGACGGTGGAAAATCACCTGTCTCCCTGCCTCCTCCTGGGTCAGCTTGTCACTTGAGATCCAGCAGCTGGAATGGTTTGCACCAGGGGCTCCCAAATGCAGGGCCTGGCCCTCTGGGCTGTTAGACCTGCCACCGCTGCTTGGAGGATCTCTGCTTCCTTTTTTGAGAGAGGGTCAACATTTTTATTAAACTAAGACAATTTTTTTCGAATCTTCACCACTTTTACCATTTTTATTTGAATTTGAGTTTAGGTGTATCTAAACGTTTAAGCAAATAGAAAAGCATGAGAGGGAGAAGGTGGGAGAGGATGTGATGAGCCTGCCTTCCCAGTAATTGAACAGTGCCCAGAAAACAGAATACCTTGCCTTTGTCTATTTTTCATAATATTTTATGATTCTAAATTTGATAGAAAAAGAATAAATGTCAAGGGCTTCTGTGTTTTTTAAATTGACAAGTATGTGGCATTCACATGTACATATCACAAAGCCCACTATAGTTTTTAAGATGAGCCACATTTACATAAGGGGGTAAAAACCTACCCCCATGATAATATTGAGAATGTAAAGAGAGTGGTTCACAGTGGGAATGTATGTTAGGCTCCAGGAAGGGTAACAGGATTATATGCAGAATGATTTTGAAGAACCAAAATTAGACATTAGATTTGTAGAGAAATTGATTTATTTATATTAAATAATACAAGGAATGTTTGTCCCCACAGTGAGGCATTTGAGATGGGGGGGGGAGAAAAAAAAGTGATTACATCACTCTCCCATTCAAGCAATATTAGCATCAAGATGGGTTTATTAGTGAAATAATTTGCAAAGATAACTATATATCTGCTATGCTTTCTGCTACATATATATATATCCTTTCTTTTTGAAAGAAGCATCTCACTTTGCCCAGTTTTGTTAGACACTAACCTTAAAATTATTAATGTTGACAATTATGTTTATTATTTCTACTAATAGGCATCTGCATTCTTATTCAGAATTTGCATCATTCTATAAAGTAATTTTAACTTTGCAATATTTGGTAGAGAAGGAGATTTTATACCTTTTCTTTCAATTGTTCTTTCTAATGTGCATTTGTGACAGTGCTTAAATTCTGGGTTTTCAGTAAATTATGGGGCACTGAAATTAAATATCTAGAGTTGATCCTTTTTACATGGGAGATATTTAAGGACTGTAAAATATAGCTTAGGTATACCATGTTGATGCCTTTCTAAGATTTTTAAAGCAAGGAATAACTGGGCTATCTATAAACCCAGATGCACTGGGGGGCGGGGGGGGGGGTAGCTCGGAGCTGCAGCGTATCAGCTTTTGTCAACCTGCCAACAGCGGAGCGTACCATGCTGCAAGGAGTAATAAATAAGGAATTAGAAAACTCACTGCTGGAGGAGAACAAATTAAACACCTTTTCAAAAGGATGAGCATGTATACATTGCAGTTCTATTAAATGTAGGTTCTTAGTGAGATTGGGATTGTGCTAAGGCTGGTATAGAAGGGAACTGATGAAGCAGGAGTGGTCTGGTGACATTTTTCTGACTTGATTGGCTGGGGTGTGTGATGTAATAGGTTTCAGTGCAGCCCCTTATAGGTTTTAAAATGAATTCCAAGACACCATTACAAAGAAAGCCGGACTCTTTTCTTATAACTGAGCTCAGCCAAGGAAACTCTCGCACAAATGTACAACACTGTTTGGAATATGGAAGACCTGGATTTAGAATATGCCAAGACAGATATAAATTGTGGCACAGACTTGATGTTTTATATAGAAATGGATCCACCAGGTAATACTGCGGTATTATTGTAGAGAGCTAGTTAATTTTGTGGCTTTTTAATTTTTTGAAAGCTACTATAACAGATCCTCTTTAGATTTTTATTTTTATTAATTTGTTTCATTGATAAAAATTAGTTTGCTTGTAGGTTAAAAATTAAACAGATTGTTTTACTGCCTGTAGAAGCAAGCAGATCAGGCTGTGTGTGGTACATGCTTATTCTTACTTGAATGGATATGAATTAAATTTCAGTTTTTCACTGGTGTCTTTTGTTAATCATGGTCCTTCCTAGTTGGGTTATAGTGTTGTGTAGTGTCCCTGTAATTAAAATGATGCATCTTTTGTGCTGCTTTTCTCTGTTGACAGTGGATGAGAACAGTGTGGTACTTTGCAGTGACAACACTTGGTAGTTTAGAAAGCATGTAAAATGTAGCAGTGATTGCAACTAAGTTCTCTATGATCTGAAACTACTCTAAATCAGATGTTGAGACTTTGCTTGCTCTCTCTTGTGTTAAGGTATTATAATAAAGAAAGTTGACTTTCATTATTTAGTGCTAGTCTTTGTAAAATATTCTTGATAGACATCTGAAATCATTTTTGCATAAATTAAAATAGTAACAGTGCTTTAAAACTTATTACTTAGAATTTAGCCAAAAATCCTAGATTTGGTTCCTAAGATCTTTTATTCCAATATTAGCCTTCCCCCCGATTAAGAAATTCAGAAACATTGTAGTCTTTTATTTGTCACCAATTCATAGGTCTGAATACTGGTTTGACATTGAGGAAGGGGGATATGGTTTTAATCAGCCCTGGCATAGAGAGCACAATTTATCCAACAGAATATTAACAGGAATACTAAAGAGATTTAGGGCACAGATGAGTTTCTTAAAGTGGCTTTTAACAGAACAGTGCCTGAAATACTAAGATTAGAGAAACCCAATTCCTCCTCTTAAAACATACTGCTGTAGATGAGCTTTTTTATTACTGCAACAGCATTTGTGGAGGACAGAGACTGAATTTGTCTTTCGTAATTAAATAAGAGGAGGAAATGAAAGCCAACTCATGTTATTCCTGCTGCTCATATGTTCATAGTTTCTTACTTTAGATGGATTTGACCAGGCATGAAACTTTAATATAACTAGAATCTAGAAGTAGAAAATGTCATGACTGTGGATTTACTTTGAAATTTATTCACATAGCCAGCCCAATTTGTTAGTTTCTTAGGTTCTGTCCCTGTCTCTCTTTAGTTTCATTTCTTTTTGAGCCATCCTCTGAAAGATTTCTTTTTTTAAAGAACACCATCTTCCATGTTGCATGGAATTACGAATTACTGCTGTATATTTCAGTTACTCTAATTTTTCTTTTCAAAAAAGAGAAATGTTATTGATCTAAAGAAATGTAGGTCTAATTTGAAATGTTCAATTATAGTTGGGATTACAAACAACTTCTTTCTCCTTCATCTGCAGCACTGCCTCCTAAACCACCAAAACCCACTACTGTAGCCAACAACGGTATGAATAACAATATGTCCTTACAAGATGCTGAATGGTACTGGGGAGATATCTCGAGGTAAGGCTACAGAAACTATTCATTTTCACTAGATACACAGAGTTTTAGATTAAGAGACAGAAAAGCACCAGCTTGCTAAGTTCCATTTTTAGGATATCATCCAACATAAGCATGAAGCATAGTTGGTCCTCTTCCAAAGACGACCAGAAAAAGTCACTGAGCACTGGAGAACTGTGGGTGCTGGATGCCACAGGAAATTAAATACCCGGGAAGTTTCGTTACTGACAGAGGCAGTGTCATTTCACCCCAGTGTTTCCCTGACATCTCTAAGAACAGAGTAAAGGCACTCTATTAAGCCAAACTCTAATAATTAATGTTATTGTCTTAAACGGCATTGTTTTCTTAGCTTTTTTGAGGGGGGAGTAAGGGAAACCTTTTTGAGATCATGACTTTCTGTGATTTGTCAGAGAGATTATAATGTTTGCCTAAAGAACAAATAAAAACTTTGTACCACAGATATACCAGTAGTGAAAGTGGGTACTTTTTTTTTTAACTCCTATGCACCTGTTTATAATGAGACTGGAATTGTTAATATTACTGTATAAACGAAGAAGAAATTGCTAAGCTTTGAAAATGGAATTCATAAATATAAATCTGTGGCTATAGGAGGTATATTCTGCTCGATTTTGCTGTGAACCTAAAACTGCTCTAAAAAAAGCCTGTCAAAAAAACAATGTAAACCTATGATTACTAAATCCTTGGAGTGAGAATTGTCTTCTATTCTTTTCAGGGAAGAAGTGAATGAAAAACTTCGAGATACAGCAGATGGGACCTTTTTGGTACGAGATGCATCAACTAAAATGCATGGTGATTATACTCTTACACTAAGGTGAGTCAGGGAATAGAGCCAAAATTGCAGTGTTTAGGTTGATATTAAACATTTATTAGAAAAATTTAATACCATTATTTTTATATTGTATTTACAGGAAAGGAGGAAATAACAAATTAATCAAAATATTTCATCGGGATGGGAAATATGGCTTCTCTGACCCATTAACCTTCAATTCCGTGGTTGAATTAATAAACCACTACCGGAATGAATCTCTAGCTCAGTATAATCCCAAATTGGATGTGAAATTACTTTATCCAGTATCCAAATACCAACAGGTAATCAAAACTGAATTTATCAATGTTATATTATTTAGACAAAATACTTTCACAACATCTTGAAGCAGATGAATTACATGTAATCAAGTCTGAAAAACTTTACACTTGTGATCAAAGTTGCAATTTTATAATTGCTAAATGAAACAGTAATTTTAAAGATTTTTCCATGTCAGCTAAACTATTATTTGATTAAATACTTATCCACCAAATTTATTTTTTTTCCGCTGTGGTTTTTAATCTTTCTAGGATCAAGTTGTCAAAGAAGATAATATTGAAGCTGTAGGGAAAAAATTACATGAATATAACACTCAGTTTCAAGAAAAAAGTCGAGAATATGATAGATTATATGAAGAATATACCCGTACTTCCCAGGTGAGTTTTCATGAAAATCAGATTAAAAGTTCAGAACTCTTGGTTATTATAAGCTTAACATGCTAATATAGCTTCAAAAAAAAAAAGTTTCTGTGAATCATTGTGGATTATTTGAGCATAATATCTCTAAACTTTTTAAATGAAGTCAATTTATTAGACTGATCTGTAATAGACTAAGTTCACAGGATAAGTAAAGGGGTCACTCACTGAGTTGTAAGGTTATTTGACACAATTCCTGATTGAAGAATTCTATTTAGATTGGAAGTTAATAGAGTTTCACAGTCTTGTCTAATCTGTGCCGTGAAAAGGAGAGGCTACCTTTACTTCTGTGTTTTCCTAGATACTTATCTCTGGGCCATCATGTATCTGGGACCGCCAGAGAGAGTAGAAGACAACATAGATGCTCTAAGCTAGAGTAGCTTTTAAAAAGATAAAAACTGTAAGGATAGTGCCAAACATTTTCCAAAGGAGATGTGTATTCCTGTGATGCTGTTTTAATGGGTGTTACCCATTAATTCAAGTCTCACCCTTCAAACACATGCTAGGTTAATAATACAGATCAAATGTCCTGGTAGTATCCTGCAGTAAGAAATTGTTTTATGAAAGGTATGACATTGCCTTATTAAAATTGTGTTGCAGGAAATCCAAATGAAAAGAACAGCTATTGAAGCATTTAATGAAACCATAAAAATATTTGAAGAACAGTGCCAAACCCAGGAGCGGTACAGCAAAGAATACATAGAAAAGTTTAAACGTGAAGGCAATGAGAAAGAAATTCAAAGGTTGGTGAACCATGCGTGTTTTCATTGCCCTTGTGCTAGAGATGACCAAAGTCCCCTAAAACTGCTTGAGATAATCTCACATTCTGTGCTTCGAATAATTTTAAAATGACAGGAAGAGAAAAACATTCTTTACCTGAAGAAAACTGCTGGGAAGCCAGTAGTGAAACTTCATAAACCTTGGGGACCCTTCATGATATACCCAGCTAATTACAGATGCATTTCTCTTGCCTCTAGGATTATGCATAATTATGATAAGTTAAAGTCTCGAATCAGTGAAATTATTGACAGTAGAAGACGATTGGAGGAAGACTTGAAGAAGCAGGCAGCTGAGTACCGAGAGATTGACAAACGTATGAACAGCATTAAACCAGACCTCATTCAACTAAGAAAGACGAGAGACCAATACCTGATGTGAGTACTCGCGATGAGGCCCTGTACGTGGACAGTAATTGCTAGAATGAAGGATGAGTTACTAATGCATTTTCTTTTCAAAACTTTTTCAGGTGGTTGACTCAAAAAGGTGTTCGGCAAAAGAAGTTGAATGAGTGGTTGGGCAATGAAAACACTGAAGAGTAAGTAGTTACCAAAGATGGGGATACTTAAAGACAAGAGATTTTTCTCATCTTAGGAAAACATAGGACTTGCATTGTTTTCAGAACAAGTGAGGAATTTTACTGAGTTTGGAGCAACTCGTAAGAGAAAATGTATAAACTGTCATTATCCAGAATTTTTAAAAATGAAAGCTTAGCTAAAGAGAACTTGGGTTTATTTTTTACCCCTACTGCTGTGAAATGACCTGCTGTTGTCCATCATGATGTCCCCGAACATCTGAAAAATCCCAAAATATTTTTGGAACAATCAGAAAAAATTACATTTAGTGTATTTTGAAGCTTAAGTGTAGGCTTTGTTTGAATTATGTGAAAACTGGCAGCCTTCCTAGTCAATCAATTTCCTGATCTAAACTGGATAAACGAGATTGTTTCATGCCTTCCCCTCTGCCCAGGTCCCTGAGAGTGGTTGCTGACTTGAAAACAGAAATAGCATAATTTATTGCAAACTCTTTGTCCTGGGGAGCTTGCACTTGAGGCTGAACACTGAGGAGAGCTCAGGCAGGCCCGTGGTGGCCCGTCTGACATGCTGGGGAAGGGCCCTGCTTCGGGGACACCAGGCTGGTGGCTCCCGCATGCATCTTCATTGAGAAACCTTCTCTCCTGCCTCCTCAGCCAATATTCACTGGTGGAAGATGATGAAGATCTGCCCCACCACGATGAGAAGACGTGGAACGTCGGGAGCAGCAACCGGAACAAAGCTGAAAACCTGCTGCGAGGGAAGCGGGACGGCACTTTCCTGGTCCGGGAGAGCAGTAAACAGGGTTGCTACGCCTGCTCCGTAGTGTACGTATCTCCCGCACCCACGTCTCGCCAGACGTTTCCTACATTCGGCCTTGGGGGCGAGGGTTTGAGAAAGTTCTAGGCTTGGAGAACCTCGGTACAACAGTGTAGAGAAGGAACAGACACAGACTTGATAGCATTTAAAGTCTAGCCAGATATAAGACTGGCCTTTGGGTTCCTCTTCAGCTACTAGACTAGTTCATCATGAGACGTCCTCAAGTCTTTTTTTCTCGTCTTTAAACTGAAAGTAGCAACGCTTGTCCACCCCAAACCCCCTCTTCTTTTCCCCAGCCTCCCAAGGCTGATACAGTTAAAACCTGAGGTAATTCACCCACAGGTAAAGTTCCCATGTCAAGAACAGGTCAAAACAGAAAAGACCCCGATCACTGACCTTGAGATAGGTACGCCCAAGAGAAGACACATTTCTTTTGTATATTTTTGATGGTTTGGGGAGCACTTTGAAAAGTGAATGATCACTAACATTGCCATTTCAGAGAAGTAATGTCCCCTACTAGGGAAAGGTTCTAAAAGCATGTTATACTCCATGATCAACCTCCAGTTGCTCAGAGAAGTAGTAAAGACAAGGGAACAGGGGAATACAGAGGAGATGCACAGCTAGAGAGTTGTGTAGACGTTTCCAAGATAGCCCGAAAGAAGAGATCCTACTGATAACTATAGTGACAGTGCTGCTCGCACGGTAGTACTCACTGTGGGTGGAAGTCACCATTTGCTGTATGCCAGTCAGTCAAGCATATGGCATGCACTGTCTCATTTCAGTTCTCAAGATAACCTCATTCTATACATTACTATTGTCTACCTTTTAAACCATTTTCAAAATGAAAATAGAGCAGGTCGGTGACGCTGGCCTACCTGCCCAAGATGCTCAGCCTAAGTAAATAAGTGACAAAGCTGAGGGTCTACAGCAATGTAGGACCGTTCCCCCCAAGCTGAGATTGGCCTGCATACAGTACGCTTTCATGATGGTGGTTTTATTATAAACACCCATGGAGTTGTGAATTGTCCCAGACAAGCTCAAAAGGCTGTTGTCTTTTCTCTCTTCTCCAGGGTGGATGGTGAAGTAAAGCATTGTGTCATAAACAAGACGGCCACTGGCTATGGCTTTGCAGAGCCCTATAACTTGTACAGCTCTCTGAAGGAACTGGTGCTACATTACCAACACACCTCCCTCGTGCAGCACAACGACTCCCTCAACGTCACACTAGCCTACCCGGTGTATGCACAGCAGAGGCGATGAAGCGCTCACCCTCGGGGTCCTTCTCCTGAAGTTCAACCACCTGAGGCCTCTGGAAAGCACAGGGCTCCTCTCCAGCCTGACCTGTGAATTGAGCTGCAGAAACGAAGCCGTCTGTCTTCAGATGGGACTAGAGCTCTCTTTGACAAAAAAGAAGTAGGGGAAGATATGCAGCCTAGGGCTGTGTGATGACCACACGTGTCTCGTGCGGAGTGCTTATCCTTCCTTTCTTCCCTTCTTTTTTTTTTTTGTTTTTTGTTTAAAGCCACAAAGAGAAAAAGAAATGCAAAAATCTCTGCGCGCAGGGACAAAGAGGCCTTTAACCATGGTGCTTGTTAATGCTTTCTGAAGCTTTACCAGCTAAAAGTTGGGACTTTGGAGACCGGAGGGTTTGGAGGGCTGAAGAGCCCTCGTGGCCTGAGGATGCTCGGTCCAGCCTGGGTTAGCCTGGGTGTTGCTGTGCACGGTCGAGCCAGACACACCGCACTGTGGATTATTTCATTTTCTAACAAGTGAACGATATGTAGCAGAAAGGCACTTCCACTCACGAGGGGCGCTTTGGGAGAACGTCAGTTCGTGCGTGTTCAGAAGAAATTATGTCATAGCAAAGTGCCAGAAAGTGTTTTAACTTGTCAAAAGGAAAAAAACCCACCAACAGATAAATGGAACTTGGAAAACAGGACTTTAAAAGACACTCAGTATATAAAATATGTACATAATATTGGATGACTAACTTTGTATCAATACCAAATAGCTTCTGTTTTGTTTTGCTGAAGGCTAAATTCACAGTGCTATGCAATTCTTAATTTTCATTAAGTTGTTATCTCAGTTTTAAATGTACCTTCAGAATAAGCTTCCCCACCTGTTTTTGTTGCTTGAAAATGTTCCTGATTTTTGTTAATATTCATTTTGTCATTATCTTTTTTTTTTTAAAGAAGAAATGTGTACAGGATGCCAGTTAAAAAGGCTTCAGAATGAAAACTATGAAATATTTTACAGTTTTTCTTGTACAGAGTACTTGGGGGTTAGCCCAAGGTTAAAAAGTTCATAACAGATTTTTTGGACTAAATGTTTTGTTGGGCAGTGCCTGATAAGCTTCAAAGCTGCTTTATTCAATAAAAAAAGAAAAAGATGAATATGACAAAGTATCACTGAGTCCAACAATGTTTTAAGACTCTTAAAATACGGTACCTGGCAATGTTTGTTTCATAAAGAATTGTGAACTTCTTGACTCTAGGGAGTGGGATGTAGCCAAGGGATGTAACAGGTAGGGTGGCGGGAGGGGTGACAAGGTGTGGTATGCACTTTCTCTAACTGCAAAGGGAAGTTGCTTATACTTCAGTCTTTTCTCACTTTGATTTGCTAGTTGTTATTGATTAACGACAATTACAAACCTACTGTAACAGTGTAGCTGTTCAGGTATTTCAGCTATGAATTTTGGGTTCCTGGAACAGAGCTCAACTTCGTTTAGAACACTGATTTAAAGGTATATAATCTCTGCCTTTAGAAAGAGTATCTTTAACATTAGACTATCCATTGTAACCAACCAACGTTCATTTTAGGAAAAGCATGATCTGAAAAAAATATTTTTAGTTGGATATTTGTTACTTCCCTAGCTTTCCATTCAGTTTGGAACAGAAAGCAAATCGACACCCTCACAGTGTCACCACTCTAGACTGTGGAGCTTGCTAAAGGCCATCACAGGAATCCGAAGGGAGGTCCTTTTCATTCATCCAAATAATTGTGTGTTTTACTTCACTATGGAGAAAAGGAAGGGGTGATTAGGGCATTCTTTCCAATTTAGGGCAAGAGTGAGAGGTCTATCCCTGATTTATATATGCAAAAGCTGTTTTGTTCAGTAGGAATTGTACATGTGTTGGGAGGAATGAATACTAATTATAATCATGGTCACTACCCTAGTAGATTAAAATGGAATCTTGCAATTTCAGTTTCCCTGTCTCAGTATTAGACAGATTCACCAACAGCTATATTTCTCTTCAAGTACTAGGGTGAAGGGTTTTTTGTTGTTTAATGTTGTTCCTTTTAAAAATCTTTTGAAAGGATCGGTCTTGCAGCTGAGTTAATCACATGTAGAATGTATTATTTTCCCTCTTTAGGTGAAGCTATTCATACCCGAGCAAAAGTCAGACAGCCAGACTGTCAGCCCTCAAACTTGACTGTACTGATCTGACCATCTTTCTCTCTCATCACCAGACAATTGATGATTTCCCTGGTTCTAGTCTCTGAGTGTCTTTGCTTTAAAACTTGTGATAATATCCTTCCAGATTACACAGAAGTCTAACAGTTAATTAGTTAATAGTTTATAAACTGGGTTTGTGGGGTTTTAGTAGCACACTCATGTATGCTATTAAATACAAATAGTTTTCATTTAATTTCTAAAATACAAGATCTGGGATTGAATGTTTTATTAAAAGCTACAGTTTTGTGAATGTTTTTGCTTCAACACTTTTTGCAAGATGACACGGTATTTAGGCAGTTGCCTTATTTTTGCATCTCACAAGCGTAAGTGCAATAGATTTTTCATTGAACAGCAAGGCAGGATTCATTGTTCCATCTCACAGTGAGTGACACCAGACCTATTCTGTCGAATGCCTTTTTGATTGCAGTGTAGCATGCCCATTGCATTTGTCCTCTTAGATGTTTGGCCACAGGGCACTTTGGGTTCAATCAGACAGTCATCTCTTATCATCGGAGTGACTCGTGAGTATGAATGGATACACCAAGGGCACTCCTGATACGTGATTTTATCCGTGCATCAGTTTTTCCTCACCCAACCTAGCATCCTAAAGCCAGAAGCTAAGCTACAGAGAGGCTGTGATAGGGCATAGAAGTGGAAGCATTGGGACCTCACTGTACACAAGAGAGATCATAACCACCTGAAAAGGCAAAAAGCATGTGTTTGCAACATCTGACTTCATGGCCTTTCATATATGTATATATGTATATGTGCATGGACTGTGTTTCCAGTACACCTTTCAGCCAAGACAGATCCACAGTCATCGATTTTAAGTACATTACAAGCAAATGTCAAGTACGATTCTTATGTATGTGTATGGTTTGTTTATTTTCTTTGAGGTTGCTTTGTTTTGTCTTATAAAGGTGAAAATCGTTTGCAAGTGAAGTGAGAAGTTTGTATTTCTTTGGCTTTTTTGTGTTTTTAAAAGTTACTCCTTTTAGGGAGCTGGTCTGGATGACTTAATTAACTTGGAAAAACTTGTTTTTGGTGTGTCGAGTCAAAATGTGTTTATGTGAGCTGTCACTGTGGGGAACAAATTGCTTTGTCATATAGCTGGTTATGAACTAGTAACGTGTTTGGGAAGTCCTACTGATGTTCCTTATTGGGAGAAAAATTCTGCTGGTTTTAACAACTGTGCTTTTGCTATGCATGGTATCAAAGTCCATTGGAAAGCAGACCCTGTTTAAGTTTAGGGTCATTTAAAGAAAGGGGCAGTTTAAAGCACAATGCCTCACATGGGACACAGTTCCAAAATGCCAAATCCTTGTTTTTTTTAAAACTCTAGTTATATAAAAGGTGAAGAAGAAATAGAATAAGTGAGTCAATTGGACAGACTATCCAACTTAACATTAAACTTGTCACCATGAGATAGCATTAGCTGCCCAGGATGCTGCTATTTAAAAAAGGAAAAAAAAGGAAAAAAAAAATGAAAAAACCAAATAAAAAAAACAAAACTCATTTATACCTGTGTATTTTTTAAAGCTACAATCTGTTCAATGTTTTTACAAATCTGTTTATATGACATTGTTAAAATAAAGTTGGTCTTTTGACGAGAGGGAGGATGTCATGGTCAGTTGTAATTTTGCCTTTACAAGGCAACTGGGATGGGGGGGTGGGGGGAGTATGCCTCCTTGACATTTTGTTCAAGTTATAGATTCAATGGAGCTATGTCTTGTTTTAAGTTGCTTTAATGCATTGTATTAGGTCTCCAAACAGAATAAAGGTTGTTTTGAAACTTGTTTTGGTTTGAAATATTATCAGCTAAGAAATATTTCTAACGTGGCTCTCTCCCTGCTGTTTATCATCTCCCACCCACCCCTTTCACTTTGTAATATTATCCCATTATCTCATTTTTATCCAGTGAACATATTTAGTGGTCACATGAATGACAGTGCAATGTTATTTATATAATTTCACTGTATCCTTAATGACAAAGAGACATTCCTCTAGGTGATGTCATTTCAAAGAACATGCTTACTATAAGAAAGCCAGATTATATAGATATAATATACATATTTATAGATAGAGCCATAAGATGTACCCACTGTCCCTCAGTTTCTCTCCCCTCTCTCCTCCATATTCATCCCCCGACCTTCAGAGTCATCCCCTAGTAACTGGTTTGCTAGGGTATCCGGTTTTGTCTTTGCATCAGCTGCATGTTTTGAACATTCACAATGCAGAGGTGTGACTGGAGCTGTAGCCGGGGAACAAGCTACACTCCAGATGCAAGTTTGACATTGTATCATCTAGTCAAGATACACAAGTCTCACTGTGAAATAACTTCCATGTGCTTTGATTGCTAAATGAACTTACACCCATGCCACCTTGCATGTATATGATGTTGACATGACATAGGCACAGTGAGGGTCCCTCACGGACTTGAAAACAACATGGTCTAGTGAGGAGGAGGGGGTCATGGAAACAATGACTAACATTTGTCAACTGTGGCAATAGCTCTGACATTCATTTCCTGCTTTCCCCCTGCTCTGGGGTCACAGAGAACAATATTCCCTGAGTCTCTTGCCTTCTGGCTTCTAGATAGTGAGTCTCCTCCATGGCTCCAGCTCCTACCAAATAGACCCTCCCTTCTAGATCTGACCCTCTTTGCCCACCCTGGCTCTCAGGAGAAGGCCCTGGCACCATTGCGTCCTCCCATTTTACTCTAGTGCTAAACCTCTGGTTTCCCTGCCATCCTGTTTGGTTCCTGAGCCCTTCCATCTACCTGAGTAATTAATTCTCTTTACTCAATTCTTTCTGTAAGAGCTAATATCTTTGTTCCTGACTGGACTCTGATATACCAAGTGATTATTATCCATTAAGCTCTTCCTATGCCTTATCTGATTTAATCCTTTCACAATTATATAAGTAGAAGATATTATCCCTATTCTACAGATGAGAAAACTGAAGCATAGATATGAAATGACTTGCTCAAAATCACACAGCATATGAGAGAAGAGTAAAGTGCATAGGTGACCTGACTCAAGGCAGAGCTCTGCACCCTTGTCCTGTAATGCAGCAGCTTTCCAGTGGAAAATGCACTAGGGAGTGCAAAGAAAGTTCACTCATAATTCTTTCTGATGGAGAACTAACCATGTAGTGTTTAATTAGTGCACGGATGGCCAGTGACGTATGGCAGAAATAGCACGGGCCTGCTTTAGACTCATGGTTCCCAAAGTGTGGTCCCCAGAGTAACAGCATCAGCATCACTTAGAAACCTGTTAGAGGTCCAGATTCCCAGCCCTCAGCCCTGCCTACACACAGTGGGGCTGGCAATCTGTTTCAACAAGCTCTGAGTGACTTTAATGCATATTAAAGATCGCTACCTCAGATCACCTGATTATTGAAATAGTACTTCTAGTATTTTAATTAAAAACCATTACCATTAATGAGCAATATGTTACTTTGATATAATTTATGCTCCCAGTATAGACCCTATTAAAAAAAAGAAAAGAAAATAGACTGATTTGCAGTTCAGGAGATCCAGCCTTGGTCTTCTGTGTTTAACCAGCTGTGGGAACTTGGCAAACTCGGGGCACCTTTGAGGCCTCTAACTTCTTATCTGTGAAATAAAGGTGTGGGCCTGGACAATCTCTGGGATTCCTTCTAGCACATAAGCTGTGATTTGGTGTGCTAAATGAAACTACTCAGTTCCCTACTTCTCCATGGACAATTTGGCCACAGTTATAACCCACAACACAACTGGTGGCCCTTGGGGCTGCCAGTGACAATGTCTGAGTGAAAGCATTCACAGAATCAGGGTCCACGTCTCTTGCTGACATCTTAAAAGCTACACATCAAGTAAATCAAAATTGTCAGCCCAGTTCTTGCCAGTGTGGAGGGGAATGCACTTGGAAATGACATTCCGCACATCTGTCTAAAGTACGAGGCACTAACGGAACGTGGCCTACCAAACTCTCTGGCATGGGGGAGGTGGGTAAGTATAGTCTGTTAAGACTTGATAGTGTCATCCCATTTAAGAAACCTTTTATTCCTGAACTTATCCCTTAAAATGTCCACCTAAAAATAAGAATCTGTTGCAATATCTTAAGAGTGTAAATAGATATAATTGATTGTTCACTATCCAAACTTCAGATAATCTTCTCAAAAGATAGCACTTTGTAATCTCCAGCTTGGTACTGATGTCATAAATCAGCTCAACAGAAAACTGCTGAGATGCTTTAGGGGGGAAAAAAAAAAAAGATAAATGAGTAACCACCAACATGCTTATCTGCATTTTGCTTTCCAGGAGAAAATGTAGAAATTCCCTTCTCTCTGTAGCACGACCTCAGGCTTAACTTGTTAAATAAAAAAAAATTCTAAAGCAATCCTTGTCCTGACACATGCAAAGGTTTGACCTATAATACGAGAACAGGACTGTCAACCTCTACCACCACTCATCATGCTGGGGACAAAGATACAAGATAGCTCCATTCATCACCAGGACTGCTTATTAGAATTATGGTTTTGACTGGAAGATATACCATACGTTGCATGACTAACCCACTGGAACCAATTTATTTATGGAGCTCTCATTTCAGAGCTGGGTGATTTATAGTTCAACCCCTCACAAACCAAAAAATATGGATAACTTCATCACAATGGAGAAAGTGTGCTGGTCACTGTGTTAGGTATTTACTGTCATCTAACAGAGGCCCTGCGCCACATGGCTTGGAGCTTTAAATAGTTTTGCTGACAGTGGTAATGATCTGTTTCTTTGGGCCTATGAGGATGAGACATTCAGTTTATTGATTCATTCAAAGCTTCAGGCACCTACTATGTGCTGGACACTACTTCCTTCTGGAGGTCCAATGATAAACATGACAGGTGAAATCAAAGATTGCAATTTGTTAAAGGCAAACTCTTAAACTGCCATCTAGCACAAGACATATAGTAGAGAGAAATGAACTCTAAACCTCAAGAGGCCAGAGGGAGGAGTCAGGCAGAGCTTCAGAGAGATGAGGACATCTCAAACCTTTCCCAGTCCATATACTCCTGCTGCTTACTCCTTCCCAGGCCTCGTGTGAGCTCGTTCTGTTGAGGCTAGAACTTTGCACGTCTTTAATGCCAACTCTGTTCAGGTGAAGTGTTTGGTTTCTCAAGTACTGTCAAAAGCATTATCTGCATTATAAGTCCTCCCCTGGAATTGCATGTCCCCATCTGTGGCTCCCATGCTGCAGGTGGTTCAGACAGCTGACATCACACCCCTCAGCCCCGGGCAAGCCGCTGTTCTCCTTATTCAGGGACAGATGCCAGGGCCTCACTTGGCTCATTGCCTTGGCACATGACATGCGATCGGTGCACAGTTGCACCTTTCCCTTTTATTTTAGATGAGAATTCTCAACCTTCTCTGCACATTAGAATCACTTAGCTATTGATTTAATAGGAAACCTACCTAACCTATTGGATTGGAGTCTCCAGGTGAGGGGGGAGGGTAAGGATTAAGTAAGATGCATAAAATGCACCTGAAACAGGACTGGCATCTAATGCATGGAACCCAATAAATATGGTTGTAGGTAAAGACCTGCCTATATATTAAGACTATGTTCCCAAGGACCGTCTCTGCAACTTTTGAATTGCTGTAGTTTTTAGTATAGGGGTGGACATATGGTAGACTACTCAAAATGTATTTACTTAACTTTTAAAATGTTATATATTTTACATAAAAATATTTATACTTACTCATATCTTTACCTTTCCAGAAAATTATTTTACTTTTATTGGCTCTTAGGTCCACAGCAGTGGATTACTCATAATCCAACACACTAAAATTATTGATCCATGCATGGTTATCTATTCTATTTATTATTCCAGAAAAAATAGTTTATAGCATTTTATTAAATATGGATATGACAAGATTTTAAAATGACTCATATAAAATAGACACAAAACAAGTAGTGCATGAGGAAAAGGGAGAAATTACTGAAAATAAAAACAAATTGTGTCTAAGGAAAGCTTCAATAATTAAAAGAAAACAGAGCTTTCTATCAGCCAAAAAGGACCACACAATGGTTTCATAGTCCTAATGCTCCAATAGTACAAACTGGTTAGTGTGAGCTAATAATTTCTCTTGCTCTGATGTTGGAGAAGTCACTGTCAAAGGGATCTTTGTAAATGACAGTACATCTTACACAATGTTCTCAATTTAAAATTATTTTTCAGATATCTTCTCCATATGGTGCTTTCTTATTCACCCATTGTTCTAGAAAGGAGGTTCTGCGGCTTGGCTCTAGAACCCTGCTTGAGTTGCATGTTGTCCATTTCCTAGCACTCCTTGGGCTGCACCCACTTCATGTCTGAGAAAGTTGCTCTGCAAGTTTGGCAGAAGGAAAGGCCAACAAAATCAGGGGTGGCTGCTTATGTTAGACTGTTCCAGCCCAGCAGCTCAGTGGCGAATCTCTTTTCTAGACCTTGTGACATCTCGGACAGTGCCAAGTCTCAGAGCTGTGGAGGACTGGACACCACACTCAGTTATCTAGACATCAGCTTGGTCTGAAGCCTGACTTAATGTGCCATGACATTTTGTTCATCATTTTCCCATGAGACACACTAGTTATGTTTTTTTTTTTTCTTTTTACTGTTTATTTTTTAACACTTCATCTCCCCAGAATAAATTTCAATTATACATTTTAGTAATACCCATGAAACTGGAAGTCCAAGTTTTCTGGCTTTTTTCTAAGGGGAGAGGTTGTCATCAATATACGAATCTTCTCACAGTATGGGGGAAGGACACACTTGTA